TAATTCCACATTGGTCGTATCTCATAAATTATAAAATACACGCATCGATACGAATAAATTTTAAAACCAGCTATGAATTTCACATGGATGGATTTACATGTCTCTTGGAAATAATTGTACGCTTCCAAAGGGTTCGAAAACAGTATTAATTTCTATATTTACATCAATGTGTATTTCGATAAGCAGCTGTGATTTTCTGTTAACATCCATTACATTACAGACGGACATTTCGAACCAAACAGTATTTCGCATTTCAGATAAAAACTAATTTATCTCTGCTAATTTGTTTCTGAACGTCTGTCATCGATCGTGAATATAGCATTCAACGTCATAGCAACACGAAACTGAAGCAGAATACTTTTCGCGAATAAGATCGAATTACGAACTGCAAGCCGAATGTGTTGCTAATTCGTATTTATTGCTAGCTGATCGATCTCGCAGAAAATACGATGTATCTGATTCAACGGAATTAATTTTCAATCATATCTACTGATCAGTGACTCTTTCATCAGTTGTTAACAAGTGTATAATGTTATCATTCGCATTATGTCTTGTAATTGGCAGCCAATAATGGATAATGAGCAATGAAACGCGTTTAATGATATCCCATTACGTTTATATACAAACGTATGTACGTTCCTTTACAATAACAAAAGCATTAGCAACGAAAGGGATAAAGAGAATCGATCGATTGCTCGCTGATAACAATTAGTCTCGTAATTATTCAAGAAGTTGGATTATTTCGTGAAAAGTAGATACTACGAAAATAGCGTGGTGCGAGAATAATTGCACAATTGTAAAAATATATTTACGTTAGAAAAAATATGTCTTCTCTTTCTATTTAACTGCGTACTAAATTCTGTACTAAAAAAGTTAAAATATTCGATGGAAAGAGAGACCTGAGGTAATTAAAATCTGTGCTGAAGAGAAAGAAAGAAATAATTCTATTGAAGCGAAAAATCTAATGCGACTGAAAGGAAAGAGAAATTTAATTCTATTCAAGGCAAAGAGAATTCCAAAGAAAAATCCAGCATAACTAGCGTTAATACTGAGATAATTGAGAGAAAGTTTCAGAAAAAGCCCTTCCGTGCACGTGGAAAAATAAATATTGAAGTTATTGGGTCAAATCCCAGCTACAGATTATTACAAACACGTGACGAGTTATTTCTCGAACACAAACTTACTAACATTTTATTTATCTGTAAAAACAAAAGAAAAGAAAAAACTATTTCTACAGTAGCAACATTCATCGCAAATTTAATTCTCCAATTCGAGTAAAAAAGGATTTTAAAGGATTTTCCAGAGGAACTTTAAGGAGATTTCCACGAACTGCAGAAACGTTAATTAATTTCGACAAACCGTTGCTGGCGTTCACGTGTATGTTACACAGAGGGACAACCCCGAGTAACGCCGGTGTCTGAATAAATTGAAGGATTCGCAAATGCCGCGTTAACTTTGCGTCTTATTTAAACAACAGTTCGAAAAATAACGAGGTACAAAGGTACGAATCGAGAAAAAGTAAAAAAAAAAGGGGGGGGGGGGAGAAACGAGGACAGACCGTGCTTAATAGAAATCAACGCTGGGGAATATTTGCACAAAGAAACGAGAGAACGCGGTGCGCGCGAATGTTCGACGCGGGAAACACGGATGGCGATGTGGCGGGCGAAAAAGAAACAGGACGATGGCCTGGTTTCCAATAGGAAGGACGCTGGGATCGGTTCATTGAGGCGGCGACTTCAAAAGGATTCGCGCGAACAGGGAAGTGGAATTTTCATTATCGGAATAACAGTCACTGTCAGTAAACCTTTTACCGCTTTGATAAGCGTGGTCGAGCCACGCTGAAAGAGGACGCGAGAAGTGAAAGAGAGATGAAAAGGAGAAAGAGAGAGAGAGAAAGAGAGGAGGAGAGAAAAAAAGGAAGAAACGATCCTGCGGATGTAAGCTCGCTCTCGCCTTGTCTTCTATCTTTGGACAGGAGGCTCGTACTCCGTTGCATTAACGAGGAGACGTCCTGTCTGTCTTTTCAGCGACGTGTTTGCTCTGACTGGTCTTTGTTTGAGAATGATTGAGGGGAAAGGTAAATTGAAATGGAAGAACACGAGTGTGAAGCACGGTTTTCAGTGACAGTTATGGAAGAAGGAAATTGATCGCGATAGTAACTAACGTGAACAGGAATTGCATGGATTGCGGATTTCATCGATATAGAAATTCTTATATTTCATCCAATGTGTAATTTCTATATTTTATTCAACATTGAATTTGAATTGAGAAGCTTGAATAAAGGTTTGGAGAAAGTTTTAAATTATTTATTAAGACACGAGTCTTTATCGAATCAACAAATTGAATTTTTTGCACATTTCAATTCACTGAACTTTTATAAATATTCAAAGTTGGTTGTATTCACAGCGAAGGGAAACACACTTTCTTCAAAAGTTACGATAAGATAATTTTACATGTGAGGAAGACTTGAACTCAAATTGAAGATAACTTACTAAATATCAAGTCGGCAAACTTTGAAAAGTATGAAATTAATATCCGTCCGAAGTGAAACAGACAGTTGTTCCCAGAAATCCTCCCGGCACGATATTTTATACGTACAAAACCTAAAGAGGAAAGAGGACGCAACGCAACGTTTCCTTTTTTTCTTTTTTCGATTTTTCGAAACCAACATAGTGGTGTATCTTTTGCGGGCGTATAAAAAATGTCCACCGCGATATTAAAAATAAACCAAACCGCGGTTTCGAAAAACATCAATCCATTGTAAAAATTCCTTCAGTCTGGAAGTGGTTTCGTCCGATTCGATTTGACGCAAATAAAAGTGGCCAGCCGCGGACCACAGTGAAGTTGCGTGTTGCTCCTCTGGGAGAGAGGCGAGAGCCCAGGGGGATAGAAGGGACGACGTCAGTCTTGTTTCTTGCGTCTCTGACGGGAAAATTGAAAACGTTGTATGCACTGTTGCTCGAGGAGACCGCGGGAGAAGCCGTAAATTTGACCTGACGTTAACCGTGCATGTGGTTCTCGAGAGAGAACCGGTTTAAAAAAATATAGTTTGGAAACTAAGGACAAACACGGGTTGTTTAAACCTTGTTGGAAGAATTCGAACTTTGCTTTCTTTTCATTATTTTCGCTATGAAATATATGCGCGCGTTATCTCGGAGAACTACGTTAAATTTGAGTATGAACGTTTAAAACGTTTAAAAATGTACCTTACCCATAATTGACGATTACGTTTCAATAAATATTATTGTAATATATGTGGTTTCAAATATTTGCTTTTCTAGTGTCCAATGTAATTTCAGAACGACGATTTTTATATAAAAAAAAAAAGAAGAAAAAAAGAATGAATAGAACAGCAAACATAGAACTGAAATTATATTTCAAGAATTATTTCCTAAATTAAAAAATTTTACAATAGAGACGAGAGTACTATACAGAAGACGTTTTGTATCAAAGAAACAGAACTGATGAATTATTCTGAAAATGAAATCTGTTGTATGGAAATATCGACAAGCTATCAGTCTGTATTTAACCGTGTCCCGAATAATACCATTATCTCGGCTTGTATCTTTTGTCGTTCTATGTCGATTATTATTCTGATAATCGTAGTTACAATTGAAAACAATAACTCGACTGTCATACGAAAGGGAAAAATAGGAACATCTGGTTTCGCCAGATGAATTAGAAATAACTATTGAAGATCAATATCTCGTCTCTTCTAATTAGATTACAATTTAGAATCTCTTAATTAAAAAGGACGTTCGACAAACTACAGAATTTCTGATATAAATTAATTTACTTTATAATTTACTATAAAATGTATTACTTTCACCTTCCAACTCTTTAATAACGTAGCACTAGCCTTTAAATTTTACATCTCAGATATTTAATTATTGTTACTAATAACTCAGAACTGGAGAAAATAATTATAATAAGAGTGAGATAATTTTTTATTCTTCTCGTAAGAGTGAGATAATTTCCCGAAATCAAACTAGTGAATAATTGTGTATAGCGACAGTGGAAGAAAAATGATTATATTGCTGAAACTAGTCAGAAGATTTACGAAATAAGATTTCAGGTCTAACTAATTTAACTATCTGAACCGTTTGCGATTTAATGCTCCAGCAAGCGCCATGAACTAAATGAATTGGTTACGCTAGATTCCAATCCTCCAAATTAATTTGTACCATGTTACCAGAGTAAGAGACATAAGGACGCAACCTTAATTTTAAGTTTTACCTGAAAGACATACTTGTAAACTCAATTACCAGCCGAGACTAAATTACTGAGAAACAGCAATTACGTTGAAACTTCCTCGCATGCTATATGTAAACCGTCTTTCTGATTTCTTCCTTTTTTTTCTGTATTAACAAGGTGGAAATCCTATTTAAATCTACAAGTGATTTAGCACTTTTCTTTTTTCAACTATTGCGTACAGTTATGATATGAATATAATAGTGCAGTTACTCACTTTTCAAAAAAGAAAAATTGACGACATTTACAAACTTATTGAACAAAACTGATATTCGCTGTACCCGTATGTGTATTTCCTATTTCATTTAAAGAACTTATTTCCACTTCCAAAACTGTATAACGAAAATTTGTCAGAAGTAATATTCATTTGATAAATTAACGTGAACAATCGTTGTCAAACTCCTGTCACGATAAAACTAAATCTTCCAAACTCACGAAAAATCCTCTACAAACCTTTACAAACTTTTACAAACCCATCGAACAAGATTATAATTAATATTCACTCAGTACTCATGTACAGCATTTTTTGTCTCGCGAAAGAATTTACTCCACTTTTAGAACTGTATAACGAGTCATATACTTGTCAGAAGCAACATTCATTTCATAAATTAGCGCGAAGAACAGTCCTCGAACTCCTGTCGTGTTGAAACTATCGTAAATCTTCCCAGCCCACGAAAGGAAGGATCACGTCAAAAGAAAAAAAGAAAAAAAAAATCGGCGAAACTTACGAAACTTGCGACGGTACTCACCAAAGGGCCAGCTGGTAATGTAGGATCGCTCGGTTCGGTTGCGACGTGTCTCGCAGGAAGTTGGCGAAGTTGTAATGCATCTTGGCGTTGTGGGGAAGAGACCGCAGACCCGCCCTATAAACAAGAGGATTCGAGGTCAGACGCAGGGCCACCATCCTTCGACCTCGACATCGACCTACGGCTCTTTATCCCGCCGTGATTACGTCTGATATCGTGTGTGCACGGGCCAGTTGCCTGCACGCGTGCAGACTTTCGCCCGCGCGACAGCCATTGGCCCTGTGCCCGCGGCGTTGTTTCACCCGGTGACGAAGAGACTCCGCGTAAATCCTCCCGCGGAGATTATGCCGCGATTCGAGGCGAGGGGAATTTCGATCGGGGATCTCGCGCGCAACGAATTACGAGCTTGCCTGCCAAACGAATGACTAACGGCTCAGTTACAAATTAAGGGTGGGAATGATCGAGCCGTATATTTCGGCACAAGTCACTTTGCTTTTCAACCGAGATATTCAAGGGTGTTTTAAACGTGTTGCCTAGAAAAATTGATGCCAACTTTCAACTATTTCTTGTGCCGGATACTTGTATTTTTCTCGGTATAAATAATTTCGCACATAGACATTGACGAGTGATTTATGCCACTTTCAAAACTTCGGGTTCTCGTTTTCTCGTTTTTTTATTAGTTTGAGAGAAACTGATTAGTGTTGGTGTAGTAGGAGAAAATAATTATGTGATAGATATAAATGTAACAAAGGTTATAAATAATAAAATTATTTTTTATTAATAATACTTATATTTGTTAATTTTGTTTGTAAAATTTGACGAGTCACAAACTGGCACTGATGAGAAATTTTCTTATACGATTTCGCAGTCAAATGCATTTTCAGTATAGAGATACTAAGCCGAGTAAACATAAGAAATTATAAATATTGAGAATTAGTTCAACTGACATGATTAATCAAATTTTTCATGCCACGAGGGACAAGCTCATCATCATTAATGAATTACATTACATGACAGTAAAAATTTCGATAATAAATCGAATAGAATTTCATGATGAAGATATCCGTATTTATTAAAAATATAAAATTACGCGATTCTCACTATAAATCGGCAACATTAGCAAATTCTTCTTCTTCCCGGCGATAATTTTCACATCGTACGCTCTACACGTGCATTTGAACGATCTCTTCGATACTAAATATCCTCAAATATCCAACAATTCCCATAAAATTGAACACCCATTACCGAGAAGTCTCATATTTTCACATTTCTACAACCTTCCAGATAATTTCTCCGTCACGGTGAAATAAACTACTGTTGCATCCTGTAAAGATGCGGAGATTTTTTTTTTCGTTTCTCTCTTTTTTTCGGAAAATGCAGCGTAAAGCCGTGCCCGACTTTTCAATTTCAAAATATTCATAAAATTCGCGGAATGTTCCGCGAATAATGATGCAGTACGGCAAACGTACTGCGATGATTCGCCTGGAATTGTCGGTATGACGTAAGCTGAAACTCAACATGTTTTCGTTTCCGATCGAGAATAAGAGAAAAGTCAGGTACATAAGGAGAGGTACGATTTCGAATATTACTTTCACATGCATCGACAGCTCGCGTCTGTTCTTCGATCGGGTTCCGCTCTATTACTGACACGTTCGTTATCAGTTGCATATTATGACAGCTTTTGCGTACCGGCGAAAAATAAATCGAATTGAGGAATTCCCGCGAAGTAAAAGGAGAAACTTTATTTTCTAATGACCACAACGTCGAACGAATTTGAACGTTTCTCTCCGTGAACTTGATCACTTGATACAAAGATTTACATTAAGAAATTTCTATTAAACGCACTAAATGCACTGATACTTGTACTAAAAGAATATCTAACAAATTATGAAATTGAGTAAATCGTAAATTAATTCTGTCAAATAACGAGTGAATCAAATTAAATGTACCAAAGAATTTCCAGTGAATAATGTCTAAAGAAAAGTACGCAGATCAATTGCACACAAGTATCGTGATTAATAATTTTATAAATTCGATACGTATCTATGTGTATCGATGCATGTTGTATCAAAAAGGAATGGTTGCAAAGAATTAAGAAGTTTGATCAACAAACCTGAGAAGAGTTTCTCTGGACGTCCAGTCCCTGTTTCGCAGCACTGTTTTATAGCATCCCAGCAGTAGAAGTAGAACGATTCCCGTCGTGATCAGACTTCTTCTGCGCGGGATGGCCGTCCAGCTGATCTGCATCCCATAAACAACCAAAAGGATCCATCCGACACTGCAAAACATTGATTGTACGATCAGTTACGATTACGTAATTAATTTATATTACAGTATTAATATTATATATATAATATAATTTATATTATAATTTATATTTACAGTTACGATGCGACAATTAGTCCAATTTTCGAAGAATATTTTATTCTACTTTAAGATATTTAAAATACAATATTCTAACAAAAAGTATTACAAGTTACTAAAAACAATTTATATTTACAGTCACGATACGACAATTAGTCCAATTTTCGAAGAATATTTTACTTTACTTTAAGATATTTAAAATACAATATTCCAACAAAAAGTATTACAGGTCACCAAACAGCATTGAAAGTAGGAAATTATCATCGATAATTCTGCAATATTAATTGAAATGTGGAAAGAACGTAAAATACAAAATAAAATGAAATACCCATCTATATGTGTAATACACTGACGCAACACTTTATTATTAAATACGATTAAATACATATTACCATCTTTTCCCAAACACGTGTGTTTTCTTTCACGTTCACGTTTATCTCGGCAACGACAACGAACGACAAGATTCTATCAATTACCTGGGCAAGTAGAGTACACGCTCCGCAACGACGAATCCAACGGTAATAAAAAGATTGGATGCGGGCAGGAACGGCAGTACCAGGAACATCCAACCAAGAAGAAGAGGCGGGTGCCTCTGTTGCTGAAAATGAAACGCAAGTCGCTGCGTTAGACCTGCTGGGAAAAGCGTTCTACCCTGAAAACGAAATTGCTCCGCGTTTCCCCGTGGAACGTTGCGTCAACCACTAACCGCTTATCAAATGAACTTTCCACGAGGAAAGGCAGGTAGCGCGCGACGTTACCGTTTTTGCCTCGCGAAGCATCGAAATCGCGTCACAGAATCGTGTCAATGTGGTGTTCTCTGTGTTTTACGAGCCAAGAAAACAAAAAAATATTGCATATTTAACGGGTAGAGAGTTCTCTGGTGATTTTATATTTCGAAATCCGTTTCTGGATTGAGTTGCTTCGATACCTCGGGCTCAACGTATCAAGTTATGAAAATAATCACGACGCGTCTCCGTCGTTGTTTCAATTTTCAAATTTCATTCCCGTGATTAAATTTAATGCAGCATCAAACGCACGAAATTAATTAAACGTTTTTAATTTTAATTTCACGGTTGAATTGCTTCCCGGCGTACAATATACCTACGCCACCGAGTATTACCGTTCGTGCGAAAATTATTAAAATACAATTAGTGGGAAATGTAAAGCAGTCTCCTTCGATATATGGAATATATAACTTGTCTATTACGCGAACTTGTTAATTATTTGAAGAACTACAATACACTCGTGTGTATCTGACGTTGAATATATCGCGATAATTCGCGAAAGGATAGTTTTGTAAACTTGAAAGTTTTCCTTTCCTTTCCCAAATAAATGGACTAGTGTGTTCATTTGTGATAATAATATTTTCCTTCGATTCGATGTCTAAATGTTTGCCCAAATGCGGTAACCATCTTCAAATATTATAGAGGCAAAAGTGGGAGAAAGAAACTTTCGAAAGAAGGTAGCGACTCGACGAACGAGTCGAATTCAGTTTCGACTTGCCGATCCAATCGACCGTTCTTATTCACCTTGCAATTTCCCGAAGAGAAATTCCCGTTCTCCCGTTTCGCCTTTCGTTTTCGAATTACCTCGAAGTTTGAATTTTATGCGTGACCTGAAAATCCAGCCTGTTGAACCGTTGATAATTCACGCTTGGTATTTCCAGCGTAGGAATGTGATAGATGGAAAATATATATCGTGAATTGAGCAAATTATAATAATAAGAACACAAAAGATCCATGCAGAGTGAAGATTTTCCTTTTAAACATAATTGAAAAAATAGTAACGAAATGACGGAAATTTTTCAGTTTCATTGCGCGTTAATAATTCGTCAGACAGTTTAATAATTATTGTAATTAATATAATTGCAGAATAACTGTAATCGGGTTTAATAATTTGTTTAATAATTAATGTGGATTGAGACTGTGGACTTTCATGAAAATTTGTACTTTTGTGGATGTAGTTAGGTAGAATTGTAATACAGATTTCTATTGAAAATTTTATATACTATATATATCTTCGTTCGTACCTCGAATATTCTACAAATTAAATTCTTATTTACTATTCTACAAATTAAATTCTTATTTACTTCAGTCATTACGAAACGACCACCAAGAGAAACAGAGCGAAAACTTAGATTTTCCAAGAGAATCACTCCATTGAACAACAAATGAAATACGTCAGTCATCGATAAAGAAACAAATCCCATTTTTTAAACTCATGTACACGCTTACTACAAATATAGTCTATTGCAATCAAAAGAAATTTGGCCAAGTTACAATAAAAAAAAAAAAAAAGAAGAAATTACCAATTTGAAGTACCAATTACCGAAAACTAGAATTTTCGCGAATATGCGGATTATGAATATTTTGGAACAACAATCGCAACGGTACTCGACGTACGACGTTCGAAAACCAGACTGTTTGTACAATTGCCACCAGAGTATATAATCGACGTAACACCAACAACGAGTAATAGTATCCAAGCTTCCCGAAGATGATGAGGACACCAGCAGTGATCCTTTTGTGGTTTCTCTTCGTCGTTGTTTCGTCCATAATTCCAAGTGGAACGTCGAACGAGCACACGGTGGAACAAAATGATTCGGGAACGTGGCCGGAACAATATCGTGCGAGCATCGACGACGACGAGGAAGCCATCGTCTCGGCGGTTGGACGAGAAACGAGGAGTTCTTTGGAGGATGGACGACAGAAATCAGGCGCGAGGGAGGCTGGATTAACCCGGCGGGAAATGAGATCAGTGCAAGAGGCTTCGAGCGGAACTGATTGGGGAGGGTTGCTCCTTCGCCTCGCGGCTACACAGGTATGTATGTATGTATGTATGTATGTATGTATATATGTATGTTTGGACGCGCCGCGCGATGATCAAAAGCTTCTGCGACGTCCGACAGCCGGATCGTTCGATTTTCTTCCGGTTTGCCGGATTCATTGAAAAATAGATGTCTGAAGTGACGGGCGAGAAACGAAAGGCCGTGCCTCTCTCCCTTTTCTTTTTAATCTCGTCTCGCCGTGAGACATTCGAAGTTTCATCGGTAACTTTGCATTGGTCCTTGAAACGTTGAAAAGAGATGATTCTTACGGGTGGAAACATTCGAATCGCAAAATTGCAGAAGACATCGTTGCTTGTTTGAATTTCTTTTCGTCTATGCTTTTCTCGTATTACATTTTTTTCATTTGTGGAATTCTAGGAATTCTATTCTTCTTCATTAATTTCTTAATGAGAAAAGGATCGCTGGAGGATAAGGAAGATAATTTTGATTTTTCCATTTTTTTTTTTTTTTTTACGATCGTTAGATTTTGTGGATAAAATTTAGTTGATTATATATTTAAAGTAACTGTTTCCATGTTACTACCCTTTTTTATTATTATCGCGTTTTCAAAGCCATGTATATATTAATTACACGTCGTACAATCTCAAAGTGAATATGGAATATTCAGCTAATGGACTAATGTGCTCATGGTAGATTTATTTCGATACATTTAATAAATAATTCTATCAGATGAGAAATAACTAATTAGTTTCACATACTCGAAAATATGTGTACGTATAAAAATATTTTGAAAATAGATAATATAATAAATTCATCGTCAAGAAACGAATGACATTGATTGCTATGAGACTGCAGAGTTTTATTCATAACAATTGTGATATGAACCACAGTTCTTTCCACAATATTTTACAGCTAAAGTAATTTTCCATCATCGCTCTATTTCTTTAATTATAATTTCCAAAGTCTGAATTTGTACGAAAATCAACAGTCCAGCTGAAGTTAAATTGAATTTAACTTATTACTCTATGTAATCAATGTTATTCAAACATTCCAGAAAGTGGTAATAACGTACATTTGATCCGAAAGTTGCAAAATTTCTCCTAATTTTGTCAGCCTTTGAGATTCAATCGTCAGGAAATTTTTTAATATACGCTACGATACGAAATAGAAAAAGAAAACAGTTCCCCATGTCAATCTTCATTCAAATACAGGGAGTCGCTAGACGAACAGGAAATTTTCCGCCAATAATATCCCTGCTGGCGTCCATCTTTGAGAAACCCGAATCTGTCGTTTACGAGTCGCGCCAGAATCGTCGCCGCAGATGGTTAACTGACTTCCCGATCTCGGAATACACGAAAGCGATGAAAGATCCGGACGACGAGGATGAGATAAAGAAAATCCTGGCGAACGCCAAGGCACAGCTGAGCACCGTGAAATTGGACAACATGGAGAAGTTCCGAGACGACGATTTTGGCAACAATTGGCTGTTCTTCGTGCTGCCATTCAGATCGGGCATATTCACGGAATCGTTGTTCAAGCCGAGGAGCAAGGGCTACGAAACGGGAGCCAAGAATTGGGATGCGTCGTTCTCGAACACGGGACAGTTGGTAAATTACAACGAGGACGTTGGCCTTGACTTTGAAAAGACGATCAACGAGAATTATGAATCGTCGCGATCGAGCGTGAACAGTGTTGGAGAATATTCCAGCGAGTTGGCAAAAGAGATCTCTTGGATCACCGAAGAGAATCAAGAACAATACAAACCGAATTTTAACTCGAAAGTGATAGAGAAAGATGGGCTTGGTAAAATTGAGAGAGATGACGAGATGGATCCTGAATTGAGTTCGAAAGAAGCTGTAGAAAGCGATCCAGATACCGATGAAAATCTTGAATCACATTTGCAAGAAGCAGAGAACGGTGGCGGAGCAAAGTATGAAACAGATACTGGATTAGTTTTGAAAGAAATACCGAGAGATAGTGCAGGTACAACCGAAGAAAACTATGGAACAAATGTTGAGTTATCTTTGAACGGGACTGAAGGAAGTGATGCAAAAGATACGATTGATTCTAAATTACTTTCGAACAAAGCTAGAAAAAGTCATTCGAGTGTAACTGACGAAAAATCGGATCTCGAATCAGACTGGCAAGAAGGAAAAGAGAAAGACAGAAGGTCAGAAACAAGTGAAGAAGAACGTGTAATCAATACTGGAGTACGTTTGGAAGAAGCTGATAAAAGTGAATCGGGCAAGACAAATCCTGAGTTAGATTTGAAAGAAAGAGGAAACGATAGTGCAAGTGGAACTGGTGAAAAACACGAAACAAATCTTGGAGAATCACATTCGGAGGAAACAGGTAAAGATGATTCAAGTAAAACTGAGGAGGAATATGAAGTAGATCCTGGATCACGTTTGAAAAATGTTGTAGAAAATGGCTCAGGTACAACTTATGATTTTAGATCGCAAACAAAAGGAGCAGAAGAGAATGTCTCAAATACAATTAACAAAAAATATGACAGAAATACCGACCTAAAGACGAAAGGTGAAAAAAATGTTTCGACAGTTAGAGGAAAGTACGAAGCAGGTGTTGAATCACATTTGAAAAAACTGAAGGGAGATGATTCAGATACAGATCGTGATCCTAAATCGGAAAAGTTACATTCTGAATCAGAGACGAAGGAAGCAGAGAAAAATGTTTCTACAACGAATCGAAAAGGATACGAAGCAGATTTCGAGTCGCATTTGGAAAAAACGGAACAATACGATTCAGATGCAACTTACGATGCCAAATCGGGAACGAAAGAAGCAAGAAAG